GTGATGCTACTCAGCCAATCAAATATGTGCATTCTGATAAGCATTGTGACTTGAATCAGTGACAGACGCACAAAGAGACTTCAAAAGCCGTGGTAAAGGCTTATACAGGGTTTATATATCTCCACTGGTGTTGATTATAGAGAAATCTTATCTGTCACTAAGACTGCAACAGTATGAGATTTTCATGGTACAATAACCGTCTCAGAAAACATCGCAATTTCACGGTTTTACAGAATTATTAATATTATCAGTCAAAATCACCCTTAAAGGAATTAAACAGAAGGGTAATTTTTGAGTGAACAAACATTTTATTACTATAATTAAAACTTGGAACCATTTTTCAATGAAAGTATGAGTGAAAAATCTCCCTCTTAAAAGGGAAATGTCCATATCACGGTATATCTTGAAACTATACGACTGCAACCCTATCTGTCACAGAAACATAAATTCTGCCTTGAAAAGCTGTTCACTCAGACTCATTAAATTATTGTTTTACACAGCATTACATGTCAGTCTTTCAAAAAATGATCCATCAACCATTTTATAATCCTTCGCCGCCTCAGCACGCACTCACACTTTCAGAGAAAGCTGCTGCAACACTTCATTTGCTGGGACACGGTGCAGCAGAGCCAATTAATAATGTTTTACAAATCCACAGGCTTTGTTTACTAAATCTTATTATCCACACTGGCTTCCTCTTCCTTTACTGGCTTTGTTTTTACAGAGCTGAGTGTGAGTCAGTTTTAGACACCTTCATTTTCTGATCAGGGATTAAGAAAAGTATGTCAGCAACAAGAGGAATCACGCCCAGGAAATGGTGAGGACGGAGATCCAGAGGTTGACGGTTTTTATTTCAGTGTATAATAAAACAGGGAAACAGCTTTGTGAGCTAAATATGGCTAAATTACTGTTCATAACATGTGCAGTAGTTTGTCTCATGTCTCTGAGCTCAGATAACAGAGTCTACTGTCTGGCTCCTGTGTTGGCCACCAGCTAGCTTACATTCCTGAGGGAAACTCTGTCATCGCTTCATCTTTTCTACTTGTAAACATCACCCGACACAGAGAGGAACAGGCCTGTAGCAAAGCACATGCCTAAGTGACTGCACAACTACACAATTCAACACTCTGTCCCTGTTCAACCCACAAAATCATCTTCTGTTTGCGAAGAAACGTTTCAACCAAACAGGAGTAGCAGAGAATCAGGCATGACACAACTGACTTCCTAAACTCCTGATTATCTTTAGCTCTTTTTATACAGACATCATTCTATAGGGCTGCTACCAGGTCCCTCTTTCATTCCTCCTTTGTATTTTTACACAGAACCAAACAATGGCCTGACATGAAACAAAACAGCATGACAAATAACATACATGTTGGCAGCGCTTTATAACAATAACAATGGCATAACATGTCAATAATAATCATTTACTGTCCCCTCTTATATGGCGGCTGATCCTCTCCTCTGCTCAGAGGGTTAGGAGCTCATGCACCCCATTGTTTGTGGACATTTGTGGCTGCTTCTTTGAGTTAGCTGCTAACTGCTACATTTTATATCTCCTGCTGTGGGTCGCACACGACAAGCCGTCAAAAAGTCATACCAGTGCCACCCATGATCCCACCCTGCCTATTGTCTGATTTATACAGACATCTTTTCAGTACTCAGTCACAGTTAAGTCGAGCTACAGTTACAGCTCGACTAGGACATTTAATTGGACTACTGTCCTTGTCCCAGCAGTATGTCTGACTACGCTATGATAGGTGGAGATATGCCCCCTTTCAGCTTGTTGGTGTTGGAGCTTTTTCCGGTTGAACTATCACCTTACAGACCAAACAGTCGAGCATCGTCCAGCTGTTGCGCCAGTTTTTTAAACAGGTCGCCATCCCGTGTTTTCCTCCTATGCATATATTTTAAAATATTGAACTCTTACAGCTGACGCAGCATGAACTCGTCCGTCCAAAAAGTCACAGCTCTGGATGTAGATTTCTCCATGTTGTTACCGGCTTCTTCTTCTGTTATACATTTAATGCTATTGGACTTCTGGGTCAAAGCCCGGGGCGGAAACTGTGGAGCATGCTCAGAACGCCTCAGCCACTTTGGGTCTGATTGACTGTATACATGTAGGAAGAATTCAACTCCCAATTACAATATCTGGGCGTGTTAGTCTGACTTTGATTTAGTACTATTTCAGTCGGACTAACATGATTACATGGATTTTAAAAGTCTTGTTTTAGTCGGGCTGTCACAATAAATCCATTTTCTCTAATGTCATGCAAACATACTGACCGTTAGTACCTCTGCTCCCCGCTCACAGGTGAGACAACTCTGTACCCCATACTGTGATCCTACATTTTATACAGGGCGGCAAGGCGGCATAGCAGCGTAAAATTCCGGCCTTGAAGAGGCAGTATAAAAGTGGGCTTTTGATAACTTCAGTAGAAGACTGAATAAAAAGAGCATTTAATGGAAGCTGAAATTGGATTTTTTTTTTTTTTTATTATAGACATCACCCTGACTTCAAGTCCTGTTACCTTTGTCCAAGACACTGTTCCAAATTTCAAGATCAATGTTTAAACATTTACTGGCATTTGTCTTCAAGGGAGCACTTCTGGCGATCCTGAATGAAATCTGGCAGCCACACCAACTAACTGTTTATCTGAGAGGTTCTGTAAAGTTGCCAAGAATCAGATTCTGAACAACTGAAACTGTTTAAAAACCGCTGAGCCACAAGAGGTCAAAATTCTAGGACAGTGCTTCTGTGTGAATCTGGATACAAAGTCAAGGAGGTTACAAAACATGTTTTGCCTTTCCTCCCTGGGGATGGATAATTAACTCTTCAAATATGCACAAAGGCTTGAACCTTACCCCCTCACTTTCCTGAAGATTGCATCGTGTCGCTCTTTTTCGTTGCTGGAGTTGACATCTCGTCTAGTGCTTCGTGAAGGAACCCATCTCTGAACGCTTTGCCCTGGGGTTTTCCCCAGGAACTCGCTGAGGCAGAACAGAGAGAAAGAGACTGAGTATCACAGACTCTGGTGACCTCATGGTCGGTGAAGAAAAACACACAAATGCCTGCAGTGACGGCACGCTCACGCTACAAATGCTGCACTTCCAGGTCTTTTAACTTGAGTCCAACTTACACAGAAGAGACACAATGAGAAAAAAAATCTCCTTTTTGCTACATCTTACTGTTTATTTCAAATGAAATTCAGGTGTTGAATGTAAAAATCTTTGTCACTGACGTTTCACATGAGTCTAAATGCTTTGTTGCCATTATTAGACCTTTAAACACGTTCCTCCCTTTTCACCCTTTGTTGTAAAATAACCCCAGACTGCCTGGTTGGTAAACAAGTGTGTGCTATCTGCAGTTGACTGACATCATGTTACAGGACTTCTGGCTATTCAAATCAAGTTTCCTGGAATTCAGGCCATTTAAACAACAAAGTTGTCTCATCCATTTTTCTACAGTGAGAAGGAAACTAAGAGTGCCTTTGTGCTAATAATGAAATCCCCAAACATTAAATGCGCTCTAAGGAAATTCCTGATGACGCACCTGTTGCCGACAGTCTTGGGATAGTGCTGAGGTGCACCCCTACCACCTCCTCCCCCCGAAGAAGCACTGCAGAAGCAAAAACATAGAGGTGATCAAGTTAGGTTCATGCAACACTGCACAAGATGGAATGAGTCTTTACCTCAGAGGAAAAAGATTAAATGTTCTGCTTATTCATTTATTCAACCTTCATTTAAGCTGAAGACACAAAGGAAACAAGTCCTGGCTCACGGGCTTGGCTTTACATTTTCAAAAAAACTCCAAAAATGCACAACAAGGAAACTAATCTGGACGAATATAAAACAATAAACCATAAAGATACAAAATGTATTTTGCTTATTACAACTGAACGCGTTACAGATTGTACTACTAACTATGTATCCTTAAATTAATCACTGTCAGAAAACCAATAAACCATTGACTTCAGCTGAAAGTGGAATCTAAATTGGCCTGACTAACAGCTTTATGAATAAACATGGCATGATGTGTTTTCAAGTGACTGTCTCAATCAGTTGTTGGAGAGCCAGAGATGCAGTTTCAAGAATGACAATGCACACACTCATAGAGCAACGCCAAATGCAGCACATTTAAGGGCCCTGACACACCAAGACAATGGTCAGCCATCGGTCAACGTCAGGCCATTGGGCTTAGTTTTTGCAGTGTTTCTGTGCCACTGGAACTAGTCTGCACTTGCTGGCTTTTTTTTTGGGCTGATTCAGCATGTTGAATTGGCGTCTGAGACAGTGGAGCTTGTCGGCGAATGAAATCGCTCAGATTGGCAATTCAGCTCAGTGCATGAGAAAAAGAACAGAGGTGAGGAAAGCAAACAAACGACTAAAGTCAAGAGGGGGTGAGCTGAAACAAAGATGTTATATAAGAAAGGGATGCACAGCGTTTTTCCCCAATATAAAACAACTTTTGGAATGAAATACAATACTTTTCACTGTATGAAATATTCATTCATTGTTCAAAGTAAGAAAAAGCATGTTGACGAATTCTAATAGTTAATTTCAAAGCAGATAGTGCTGATATCATAATACATCCCTAATATTAGGCACGATTTTTAGCAGAATTGTTTGTTTTGTTGTTCACTGTGCCACGATAAATGTTCTTTCAACTTCAGGTTGTGTTATTAATGTGCTAACTGGCTAACAAGCGTCTTCAGGGGCCGTACACATGCCGCCTTTATTTGCGCCCTCAAATTCAATGTTTTCAATGTAGACGTGTGGCAGGTGTCCTCAAACACCGCAGCAACGACGTTGCAGCACGCACATGTTCCCAGGTGCCTATTTTCCAGGGTGCTATGGCTGCACCCTGAAATAACCTGAGATCAACTTTTGGAACGCAGCAGCACGTCATGTGACGAGGTCCAACCAATCACAGCCGACAGATATCTTTACATAAATATAAGAAAAGACGTTCAACATGTTAGCGCAGAGCTGTCAGAGCTTTACATCTGTCTCACAGACAACAGGCCAACACACAAACAGAAGATCAGCTCAGCACTCTGGATTTCAGGTAAATGTGCTGTGATACAGTATGTGGACGTTTCTTAGCAAACTCAGACGCAACCTGCTGCCATGCTCTTCAAAGCTGGTATATCTAAAGACACAAGAGAAGCACCTAGCGCCTGACCTTACGTTCTCCAGGCAGCTAAAGATGCAGCATACATGCTAGTTGGTTGTAGTCTTTGCAGTGTGCAACTTTTTGGCTGAGGCGATCAGGCGATATGAGGCGACACAACAGTCTGATTTTGTTGATGTTGTTTGATGTTGGTTTGTGTGTCTGGGCCTGAAGGTGATGGTATCTGCATAACTGCACCAGTCAGTTAAGTGAGTAATAATTTCTCATCAAATGAACCCGTAATTTTATCAGGATTAATTTGGTGTCCTGTTATGCAGCTTGCAGTTTTTTATGCTTCCACGTTTTAGCGGGGCAGTGTCAGCTGAAGGTTTATTTTCTTTGTTGACAGCTATGGGACTTCACTAAAATTTTGAGATCAACCAAATCTTTAATTCTTTTGAAGAATGTATTATTGATGAACCCAATCTTAAGAGTTTCCGATTTAATGCTCATAAATGAGTTAGTCGTTTTCCATCTGCTTTATATTGTTTTGTATCATTTCATTTCTTTTTTAAGTGCCGTGCATGATGGCTCTTCGTTTGCTTATTGATTGGTTTTAAATGTCTTTGTTCATGTTCTGCATCACTGGAAATAAACTGAGGGAGACCCTCATTTCAGGTTTCAGAGTCTTAATAAAGGTTTGAATAAATGAAGGTTGTGGAACTTGTAATTAGTGTTTATGATCCCCATCAGTTTTCTGTCATGATCTTAGATAACTAATTGGATGGAACATAACATCACTTAAATGACAGAAACATTATATGAAGTATAAATGTCAGGGCAATGTGCAGAGTTCCAGGTGCAGTGGAAAAGCAGAACAGGCTGTACTTCACACTGAGTGCCCTGCTGCTGCTCTTTGATCATACACATCATGGTCTATTAATATTCAAATTTTCATGACAGTGCATTAAAGTGCAAGTTCATGCAGCACATCTGCTGGTGACTGGGACGGATTATTGGTAAATACAAGCTGTGTTAATTTATATTCAAGATATCTTTTAATTAGGAGTTTTAAATGATCAACAAATTTGCCGACTGCCATATAATGTGAGAAAGTTTCCGGAACCCTCTGAGAAGGTGCACAATCAGGCCCTGATCACACAGAAAGAGTTAAAACAGCTGGAGGCGTCTTTTTGTAATAGTTTTTAATGATAATGAAGCTTTTTACTTGCTGTTTTTGCGCTCTAGGTGCCTGGCCTTTTTTGACGGAGCGCTCTGACCTCCTCGAGTTAGATAAAATTCAACTCAGAGCAAAAAAAAGCCCCCTCCGGTTGTCCTATGGGATGATTTGAGAGGCGGGCCTTCTCTGGTGGTCAGGACAACAAGTTTACATTTGGTAAAAAATTGGGGAGAAAGTGGTGCTAGCAGTTGCTGGATACCCAGAGCTGCACGTCTTTACCTTCTCCCTCCCGTCCAGATTTGTAGCAAGCAACTAATTACTGAGAATAAAAATAGTGTAGTTTTAGCGAGCCAAAATCAACAGTAGATTGAATACACAGGAAGATTAGGAGTAAGGAGGTGATGGGTGGTTGACTTGCAACAATAAAAAGGCACAGCACGCGCTTTTTTTTTTTTAACTAGTGGCATTCAGTTTTTAAAAAAGGCAGTGAAGTGCACCTTGTGTTTTACAAACTGCGAAACACTTTCTGTGTGATCAGGACCTTGACTGCAAACTTAAATCTCCCACAGTAATTTATTTGTTCAACATAAAGTATCTCAGAGCATTTGAAGCCTCAGTCTTATTAAGACTTAAACCATTATGTGAGACAGTGACTCTGTACACTGTGAACAGGTTGAGAGCTGCCTCCACCAATATTCAACCAACAGGACAGAAATCCTCCCTGAGGCTCATTATGTCTACCCTGCCCCCCTTTACAAAAGGTTTCACAAAGAGAAGTATCTGACAGCCATTTTAAGCCTTCCCACATCCTGCTTTGTTCTACAAGGCCGGAAGTTCCTGCCTAAAAACACCAGCAGAGGGCTAACCATGGGAAAAAAAAGAGAAAAGAAAATCCTTGTTGTTATTGTCTGCTCAAGCTTTGACTTATTACCTGAAACGAGAAGCACCCCCTTCTGCAATCACACTCTCCACTTTGGCGGCTTGACAATGAAGAATACTCAAAAGAATAAGAATAATAGGAAGGGATGGGGAAAACGGTGCTGAGGAGGAGAAAAGGGAGGCAATTAGTCACTGCATGGGGGTTGGGGAAAACAATGCATATTCACAGGATCATAATTAGCTCTGACTTCATTAACAAAGAGGGCATGAAGAGTTTATCATCATTATTTATGGAAGTCAGTCAGATAACTTAGCCTGGTAAACAACTTAGTAGCCAGATCTTTGTTGGAGGCCTTACATCTAGTGAAAATCAAATTAGCACCCCACTAGCTTGAGTAAATTGGACACGATGTGCTACACGCTAACATTAGCATTTATAGTTGAGCAGTGAAGTTTGTCACGATGACAACAGATACCAAAACGTTGATTTTTGTGTTTCGTCTTTGCTTCAACAAAGCAAAGGTGCGTCAGCTAACGTTAACCGGCTAAAAGCAACTGACCAGCTAGCTAGGTTGCTAAATCCGTAAGTTAGCTACGTCACGACACTGGTCAGATGTTTACCACGTTTGAGGACAATTATTTTTAACGTTTTGCAAAACATTTAGCCAGGCGAGTGACGTCGTGTGGAGGTAAATGTTTGCAGTTACATTGGGATGGTGTTGCTGTCTGATCCGAGATGCCCTGCGGTGGTTTGCTGTTTAGATCGAAAACAGGTGTAGCCTGCGAACCTAACGTTACCGTTATGCAGTGAATTGGGGCAGGGCAGCGTGGTTAGCCGCTAATGTTTCCACTCGGCTGTGCTCTTACCGCCATCCCATCAAGGCTCAGGCTGAACATCGGGATTAAAGGCCAGTTTTGAGGCGATCGTTGCCTGAATCCGGTGCAAGTTAACGGGACACTCGTTAAATTACATGCCATGTAATATGAGCGTTCAGTTTCCTGCAAATACTAGTTGAGAGTAGCTAGGCGACGACGCCATTTTCTACTCGAATGTAAATCAGCTGAGCAGTCGGTAAGCTAGGCTATCTGCCGGCTCCTGAGCTGATCTGCCACGGTTAGCTTCATCTGTTAAGTGTTTTAGCAGGCTAAGTTAGCTAGCAGAAGCCATTTTGGATGAGCCGGTGCGGTCTGGTGAGGGAGGAAAATCTGCCTTACCTTTACCAAAGCAACTTCAGTTTTGTGTTGTTGTGTGACTACCAACGAAGAAATGAGACGGTTGTAAAAGAAAAAACGGGGTATGCGACGGGTATCAGGAGAGAGAAGAGCAGAAAGATGACCGCACAAACACACACATCAGTCCCCTGCCTGCTGCCTGGCTTGTTTGCGTTAGCTAGCTGCTGCTGGAGACGCTTGATAGCTGGCTGCCTTATGGGGACACAGGAGCCAACGATTTGCATTGGTCACATATTTTGTTGTCATGTAGATCCCGACCAATCACATTAGAGATATCTTTTTAAGGCGTTTCCAGTAATACGTATTACCCAATGGGAGGCATCTTGAGACAAAAGAGCCCGCCCCCTTCAGTGGATTGACACTCAAGTTAACATCTGCAGTGCAGGAAAAGGTTCTGGTTATTTTTCACAAATTAAAGAAGATAAAGGCGTTAAATTACTACTGAGTGCAGGTTAGGTTATTATTCATTTTGAAATTATTTATTTGTTTTATAATGATGAATTCGGCATATGTTTTAAAACATCCTTACTCATATTTATTTATCATATGGGCTGAATTTGTTCTAGAAAAAAAGAGTTGTAAATAAGTCCTATAAATGAGCTTTATACACCTTGTAAACTTTAAGTTTGCACACATTGAAATAAAATGATTTCGATTTTTTTCATTTTATTTCAATATTTGGATTATATTATCTGATACGAGATATATTATCTAGTCATTATTTTATTATTTTATGGAATACAGAATATCTTTGTCAACAGTAGGGTTGCAGCAGTGTTTTAAACTATACCACGGTCTCAATATTGGCAGTTATCATATACTGTGCACATCTGCTGATCTACAAAAGAATGCAATTTAGACTGAGAAACTCACCTTTATTCTCTTTATTTTCAAAAATGAGATTCCACACATACATCTATTAAAAAAAACTTGTTTCAAGTTTCAATTGTAATAAAGCCTTTGTTTACCCAAAACAAAACAAAAAAAAATCAGGCCACTTAAACTGATGATAATAATAATAATAATAGGTTTGAACTGTGAAACTGGTATTTTCTGTGACTGTGATCCTACCATGAAAATTACAGCCCTAGTCAACAGACTTAAGCCGTAGAAAACCAGAAGTTTCAGTAAAGGTTAAAGTCCTATTTGTTTGGCAGGGATCACATCAAAAAAGGTAACCAGAGTGGGGCATAATAACTTTTGTGGCAAGTTTATATTTTATTTGTCTAGAGCAGGAAAGATTGGTATGCACGGTAAAAATATATTAAAGGTCCAGTGTTTAGGATTTAGGAGGAAATATTGGTAGAAACTGAGTATAAATATGTTCTTTAGTGTATAATCACCTGAAAATAAGGATTGTTGTGTTTTCATTACCTGATAATGAGCTGTTTATATCTACATAGGGAGCAGGTCCTCGTAGATAGAGACATTCATGTTTTCACATCAGCCACCACACTTAGCAGCCCGTCTGTGACGAGAGCGATGAAGAACATTGCTTTTTTAAAATGTAAAATTGCTTTATTCTGGTTTAAATCACCAGGTCTGTTTGTTTTTAGAGAGGAAGAGACCTCTGTGGATAATACGGCTCCCAGTAAAAACTTGCTCAACATCTGGATCTTAAGTTATCAGGGAAAAAAAAGACAGCTGAGCAGCTAGTGGGCCGTCTCCAACATGCCAGACGGCATCTGAAAAACATTGTTTTGTAACTTGAAAATGTTTACACAGTGTTTTTAGTGGTTTAAATCACCAGATCTTTTTGTTCTGCAGAGGAAGAGACTTCTGTGGATAATTCAGCTCCCGGTAAATCTTTCCTCAACAATGAACACTGAAGGAATTCTAAGCGGGAGAAGGTTCACTGCTGAATCCCCCTAAATTTTACACACTGCTCCTTTAAATATCTTTATATGTTTAAATCGGTAAGTTCAGCCCTGTATATAAATGGGCTAGGCGTGTGTACACTGTGTGTGATATAATGATATAATAGGATATAATTTCTGCCCTGAGTGTTTCCATCATCTGTTACAGTGAAGCGGATCATCATGATGCAAAATCTCTATTTCTTTTTTATTGTCATCAGCCTGATTTAATTTTACTTGCCCGGCCCAATCTCCCTTGTTTACCATATTAACCATATATTCAGAGGTACTTAATGCCCTAAACATAGTTCACGTTTAATTCAATGGGATCAATACTTGGCATGAATCATATAAAGAAAGGAAAAAAGTATAAATTAGTTTCAGGGTTCAGACTGCAGGTGGTAATGAAGGTATTTTGATCCATCAGAGCAGACACAAGCAACTACCTTATAATGTGCTTAGGGACTGTTCTTTATTTATCAGAGGAGGTGGGTGGCTGGGCTGTGACCTCCCTGAAGCTACAAATATTTTTCCTTGAGCTTCCCTGAGTATTTGGCAAAAAATCCACGACCCTCCCTCCACCATGAATTAGTTATAAGATTTTTAAAACTTACCCTTTGATGTTTGGAAGTTAAAAGATGACGACGAAATCCTGGAGCTGATAAAGGCCTTGTTTCTTTTGTTTTCTTGTCGTTGATGCTGGGTGGTTTGTGCAAACGGTTTATTTTTGGCCAAATTTAAATGAGACTGAATAGAGTGAGTTTGATGAAATATCACTATTTTAGGCAAAGATTTGGTTCAGTTTGTCGCACATGATGTGTCCAAAGAAATCTGAGTGGAATCTGTAAATCCAATGAAAATTTTTGTTGTTACAGTTTCTGGTGAAATCTGGTGATAAATGGTTATTTGGGGAATTTATTATTATTATTTTTTTTTTAAGAAATAATGATTTTTAAATAAATACGGGAGGGTTTGGAAGGCGTATTTTCTTTAAAAATCTGTGGTAAAAGAAATACAAAATACAACAATTTTAATTTGTATGCCCCTCCCTTAAGTCAAAATTAAAACAACGTAAGTCCCTCCCAAGTGCTTAAAATAATATGGGTACGTCCCAAGTCCCTTAAATTTACTGCTAACCACCTAACCTAGCCACCTTACCTTACTGTTTAGTCCCTCCCACTTAGGAAAACATGCAAGGAGTCAGGAGTTAGGAGTGAGGAGCGAGGACTGCTGATAAGAGACATGAGAAGGCCTTACTCTGAAGCGTCACGTAAAGAGACGTCCTTTTCTGATGACGGCGGCACAGCTGGATCTGCTGCATAACGGAGCCAGCGTTTGGCGTACATCCCAAGTCACATTACATTCGCTGATCAAAGCCGTAACCCCCCATAGCATAAGACATCCCTCTGTCCTTATGACCCTCACAGCTGATCAGGAAAAACTCCCCAAAACACCCCTTTAACGGGGGAAAAAACGGTAGAAACCTCAGGAAGAGCAAGTGAGGAGGGATCCCTCGTCCAGGACGGACAGACGTGCAATAGATGTTCGTACAGAACAGATCAACATGATAAATTAACAGTAATCCATATGACACAATGAGACAGAAAGAGAGAGAGAGAGAGAGACAGAGAGAGATGCAGGACAGGTGGTAATGACAGTAGCTTACAACAACATTAATGAAAGTAATAATATTAAGTAATATTAATATTAATAATTAATATTAGGCTACCTACAGGCTATTAAACATTATTCCACTCACATGACATGCAGGATAATTAATGATGGGCAAATGTGTTTGTGTGTGTGTGGTGTTATATCAACACGTGTGGTTCTGGACATGAGCAGCTGCACATTTAACAGCCACACATCACCGACAGTCCGCTGAACAACA